TCTTTTCACAGCTTCCAACACTTACACAAAGGAACTTGGAACATGGAATCAACACTGACTCAAGATCATCAGAATGACAGAGTTGGAAGGGACCTTGGAGGTCTTCTAGTCCAACCCCTTGCTCGAGCAGGAGACCCTATACCATTTCAGGCAAATGGCCTGTCCAATCTCTTTTTGAAAACCTCCAGTGATGGGCACCACAACTTCCTCAGGCAAGGCATTCCGCTTATTAATTGTTCTAACTATCTGGAAATTTCTCCTTAGTTCTAAGTTTCTTCTCTCCTTGGTTAGTTTCCATCCATTGCTTCTTGCTGTCAGGTTCTTTAGAGAATAGATCAACCCCATTCTTCTCTTCTCTTCAACTGGTTAGACATACCATCCTTCAATCATCCATCATATCATTCATCACGCGATTTAGCCTCCAGCCCCGTTATCATCTTTGTTGTTCTTCTCCAACACTTTTTTCTACGATCTCACCATCTTTCTTTGCATTTTAGGTATTTATCTGTCCTGTTGGGGAAACTAAACAGAATGAGCAATTTATCTTCCTTTTTTTCTCATTATATTTAAACTCAGGCTCATTTAATAAAAGTGATACGGGAATAAGAAAGGAAGAACATGGGTTCCATTGAAGGATGCAGTGATGGGCCAGAGTCTGCTCTTATAAAAAACCCAACCCTTCCAAAGTCAAAGGAGATACAATAGTTGTAACAGCTTCTTCTCATCAGAGATGCTGGTGGGATCGGAAAGATTTTGAAACAAGTTGGGGAATTGAGAATATACAGAATAAAGGAAATGGAAGGGACCTTGGAGGTCTTCTAGTCAGCCCCCTGCTCAAGCAAAGAAAACCTGTACCATTTCAGGTAGGTGATTGTCTGGACTCCTCTTAAAAACATCCAATGTTGGAGCACCTACAACTTCTGGTGGCCAACTGTTCCATTGGTTAATTGTTCTCACAGTTAGGAAGTTTCTCCTTAATTCCAGGTTGCTTCTCTCCTTGATTAATTTCCAACCAATTGCTTCTTGTCCTGCCTTAAGATGTTTTGGAGAATAATTTGACCGCCTCTTATTTGTGGAAGCTCCTCCAATACTGAGAAACCGCTATCATGTCACCCCTAATTCTTCTTTTCTTTAGACTAGCCAAACCCAAATCCTGCAGCCGTTCTTCATATGTTTTAGTCTCCAGGTCTTCTAATCCATGCAGGAGACTTTATACGATTCTGGAGAAATGGCTGTCCAGTCTCTTCTTGAAAACTTCCAGTGATGCAGTACCCATAACTTCTGGAGGCACATCGTTCTACTGATTAATTGTCCACACTGTTAGGAAATTCCTCCTTAATTCTAGGTTGGATCTCTTTTGATTAAACACCCCTTTGAGTCTTTCTCAGACAGAGGAAAAAAAAAATCAACCTACTTTTGAGGGGTTCAAAGAGATGAAGGGGAAAACCTCTGTAAGGCACCTGTCTTCAAACATCACCCCTTTTCCACCTTCCAGTGAGCCGGGCAGAAAATGTTACTGCCTCGTAAATCAGTGACAGCAAATGAGGTATGAAATGTCCTCTCATATTTTAAGTTTCTAATCGTGTATTAGAATAAATCAGGCATGCGATATTTTAGAGGTGTTGGTTATTTAAGATTTGTTGGCCATCGGCCGTTATATTATTATGATACTGCTATTGTTATAGAAGGGTGCACCTATGATTTATTGGTTTAATTTCCAAGGCTGCCTCCTTGCCAAGCAAGTTTCAACAGCAGACTTTTAATACAAGCTGCTGTTGAAGCAATGCACATCAAGAGTTGTCTCCAAATTCAAAGGCAGTGGTTGTTGGATAGCAGCTGTATGGGCAAGAAGTCTTCCATGCATATTTTACCATTTTGACTCTTCCAAAGCTTGTCTATGGAGATTCTCGGTCATCCAGATCATGCTTCTCCAAAGGTGAGTTTTCAAGAGGCAACTGGACTTTCTGGTTTTTCTTTGAAGATGTTTCACTTCTCATCCAAGAAGCTTCTCCAGTTCTTCTGCAATGTTTCTAGACATCAGTTCATACTACACAGGTAAATGTCTATGGAGAGTCTCAGTCATCCAGCTCATGGATGTCCCAAAGGTGCTTTTTACAAGAGGCAACTGGACTTTCTTTGTTTTTCCTTGAAAATGTTTCGCTTCTCATCCAAGAAGCTTCTTCAGAACCGAATCCCGGGCTTCCAGAAATTCTCTAGCATTTTTGAACTTGGCTTGGTCTAGATTGGTCACAGTTTCCCAGTTGAAACTATGGTTAAGTCTGTCCATATATTGTGGAATTAAAGAATTGTCATCGTGTTATTTATTTATTCATTTATTATTTAATTGCTGCCACCTGCCTTCCATTGAGGATCTGTGCACTGCACCAGCCAGAAAGAGGGCTGTGAAAATATCTATAGACCCCTCACATCCTGGACATAAACTCTTTCAACTTCTCCCCTTGGGACGCCACTATAGGGCATTGCATGCCAAAACAACTAAAAACAGAGTTTTTCCCCCATGCCATCACTCTGCTAAATCCATAATTCCCACAGCACTGTCAAACTATCTAGGTATTCTGTTCTGTTCTATTCTCTTTTCCCTTCGCTTCCCTTCCCTTCCCTTCCCTTCCCTTCCTTTCGCTTCCTCTGTTCTATTCTATTCTGTTCTGTTCTGTTCTATTCTATTCTATTCTATTGGACAGAGATTGGACAGATTTGTCCTGGGTGGTTTGCAACTTCTGGCTTGGTCAGAGAGTTGGACTAGATGATCTCTGAGATCCCTTCCAGCCTTATGATTCTGTGATCGGCTCATATTTGATTCTATGATTGATTCTATTATTTTATTATTGATTATATGAGAGATTATATGGTTTTATGATTGATTCTATGATTCTATGAGTCTTTGATTCTGATTCGATGGTTCTTTTATTCTTTGAGTCTGTGTTCCTGTTTCTTTGATTCTATGAGTCTTTGATTCTATAATTCTATGATTCTTTTATTCTTTGATTGTATGACTCTATCATTCTTTGATTCTAGGACTTTTTGATTCATTGATTCTATGATTTTTTTTTTATTCTGTGATTCTATGGTCTTTCATAGAAAGTATGAAAATCACCAGCACAAAGTCAGCTGTTTTTCCCCAGGAGTAGATGTTAAGAAGCCTCAAAACTAAAATAAATTAAAGCCAACAGCCTTAATAAATCCACGAGTTTGGATTTTGATAACCTCCACAATGCCTCCCTATCACCCACTCATTTCACGCTCAACTGTGCCTCCTCATTTTAGCCACAAAAAAAAAAAAAAGAACAGCCAAGTTTCACATGCATTTCTTTGCAATATTTTCCCTGTAGAATTACTTTTTAAGGCTGCTGGAGGGTGAAAGAGCCTTTACAGCTTCATAAACTACAGGCAGGAGGGAAAAAAGGAAAAGGGTTAGAAATTAACAGAAAGAAATTGCTTCCTTTCTTTCTTGCTAAGTGCTTTTACCACCTCCGACTTGTGAATATTTTCTTCGCTGCAAAAATGATGCACTGTAAGAGTCCATATCCTGAGGGTCTTTGATATCAGGTAGATGAATTTAAAATAAAAATCAAACAAACATTCAATTTCCTCATGAGAGTGTTTTGTTAAAATGTGCACAACCACACTGACAGTGTTCTCTGTTGGCCTGTTTATTGATTTATTGGTTTCTCTGGGGTTTTGTCAGCATAAAATAATGCAGGCAACTTATGTAAGACTTAAGTCTGACTCAGGAAAATCTTTGCCTTGCGAAAAAGCTAATTTAGGATAAGAAGAGCTCCACAGACTATCAGCAGAACAGAAGTAAGCCAGAATTAAAATCAGCTTCCATTAAGTTTGAGCTCTGTGCCTTGAAATCAGTGAAGGTTTCCTGAAGTCAGACTCCAGATTTGATGACTTATCATAGATCAGACCCAAATATATTAAAAAAAAATAATACTGCGCTGATGAAATGGTGTAGATTTGGAAATCAGACTTCTTTAATTCTAGGGATCCTATGCCATGGGGTGCTTGGTAGCCTCTGAACATGGCTGCTTTTTTGCAGGCATTTCATTACCCAACTAGTTTGTCAGATATGCCTCCATTCAAAACTCAAGAAAGAAAATCCCCGACTCCATGTTTGCAGAGAAAAGGTATTTTTACTGAGTTAGATGAGATAGCAATGAAAGAACAGATAACAGATAATCAGAGTTGGAGGGGACCTTATAGGTCATCTAGTCCAACCCCCCCCACCCAAGCGGGAAACTCTACACCATTTCTGACAAATAGCAGTCTAATCTCTCCTTGAAAGTCTCAAGTGATGATGCTCCCACAACCTCCGAGGGCAACTTTTGTTTCATCGGTTGATTGTTCTCACTGTCAGAAAGTTCCTCCTTATTTCCAGATTAAATCTCTCCTTTTTCAGTTTCCATCCATTATTTCTTGTCTGGCCTGTAGGAGCTTTAGAAGAGCAATAGGCATGAAAATTACATATTGAAAGTTATCCCAGGTTGCCTTCCCCAAGGACCCAGACTGGACATCCAATCTTCAGTGCCTATGGTGTCATGTGGGGTACATCTTCAGGTGTTCCCCCCCCCCCCCAAAGACGGTTGACCTTGGCTGGGGATAAACAAGTCCATGCAGTTGTGCAGTGAGCATGAAAACATCCCCCCCACACACATGCTTGGTTCACACAGAAGGTATCTCCATATCTCTACTCTCCGGCAAACTTCCCTGCCCCAAATGTCAAACTTTCCCCCTTCCCCGTTTCTATGGCAGCTGACAGCAAGCAAGATCTCCACCATCTCTGGGCTAATCATGCACCTTGTACACCCAGAGTCCAAAAGGGCTAACATCTTCTTCTGGGTGCCAGACAAAGGCACCCTTAATGTCTTCAGAGCTAGAAGGGAGTAGGGGGTTTGAGGAGAGGAGGAGGAGAACAAGGATAGCAAGGAGCAGCAGGAGGAGGAGAATGAGGAGGAGGAAGAGGGGGAAGAGGAGACTGTGGGGTCCTTGGTGCTCTCTGAGCTTGGTTCTTTTCTTGCAGACATTTCATGACCCAACTAGGTGACATCATTGTTGACCTCACCCCATTCCTAAGAGGTATGTAAGGGGCATGCATAAGCACACTAATGTGCCTACCGTCCCTGTCTAATGACCCCTTTTATCCGTACCCATTTCATGTAATCATAATCATGTTCTAATTATAAGTTATCTAATATATGCTTGACAAATAAATCAATAAATCATCAATGATATACCAGAGCAGGGTTTGTGACCAGAGGAGGAGGGGGAGGAGAAGGACAACTGTGAGGTCCTTGGTGCTCTCTAAGCTTGGTGGTTTTCTTGCAGATGTTCCATTACCCAACTAGATAACACCATCCATGCTAGAAAGGAGTAGGGTTTGGTTTCTTTTCATATATCAGTGGCTTTCCCTGTCAGCGTTGGTGTGAGTTTTCTTGGTGGTTCCTTGATTTAGGCTGCTGTTTACTGTTCGATGGTTTGTCTGAGTTGGTACTTCCTTCACTGGGATATTGTTTACCACTTGATTGTCAGCTTGGTGTTAATCCTGGTGTTAATCTCTGCTTATCTGGATGCTGACTGCTGATGAGGAGGTGTTTTGATCTTTTGCTTTCCTTTTACCTTTTCGATTGCCTCTTTTGAATGGTGTGTAGACGTTGCTTATCTCTATGTGTCTGTTGATGGCTGATTTGTCTGATTGCGCTGTATCAGCTCCCTTTGTTATACCTTAGTGAATCAGGAAAGTGTCTATCTGAGTAGCTTCTGAATAGTGTTTCTCAAGATGTAACAAATGTTTCAGCCCCTTTTGCCAGGTAACAGTTCCTTCATATCTTCATCAGGGCATGGCATGAATTCAATTTCTTCTTGTACATGAAGATCAGCCAACGTAGACAAGCATAAAATCAATTCTTTAGCAAACTTTACTTTAACCAGTCATTGCCTAATGGCTATCACCTAGATGTTGGAAGAAATGATGGTAGAGAATCTTAGGCTTTTTGAGAGCAGCACATCTGGAGGGCACCAAGTTGCAGAAGGCTAATAAGAATAATGGAAGGAAGGAAAGGACACATGTGGAATAATGAACCATTTTTGGAAAAGGAGAATTAAAACATCAACTATCAAGGAAGCCGCAGTGGGAAAAGGGCTTCCCTTTGTCAGAGTACATTCATGAACTGAAATAGAGTTTAGTAACAAGGTCAGCCAATGAGAGCTGAATTGAGAGCTGAAACTTAAAGAGAGAATCTGGGCGTGGCTTATCTCTGTCCTGTGCTCAGCTCTAAAGCTTATCTGCTGTAGTTGAATTGCTGCTCTGCTCTGAACTTGTAACATGTCTTCTTCTGTTTGAGCGTGCTTCATGTCGGAGAAATCTACAACTGGTATTGTAAAATTTATTTGTGTTTATAAAGAAGTTAAACGAAGCCTCAGCCATCTGTGTTTACTTTTTTGGTGCTGAATTTACGCTGCAATACTCTGAACACTCTTGGCAATGCCCAAGTTGCATCTTCTGTTTAATCTTCCAGCTGAAATTTACTGGATGGTGCCTTAGCATATTAGGTGGAACCATTCTGAAGACCACTAGTAGACTAGCTTGTATGCTTTGAACATATTATGTTGGCACATTTGCAGCCACGTTGAAGACTAATAGGAGAGAACAGTTGTACTTCTGTTTTAAACTGTGGAGTCCTTGATGCTTTCTGAGCTTGGTTATTTTCTTCTAGACATTTCATTACCAAATTAGGTAATATTATCACTGTTAGAAGGGAGTGGGATTTGTGAAGTGGAGGAGAAGGAGAAGAGGGAACAGGAGACAGTAGGGGTACTTTGTGCTTCCTGAGTTTGATTTTTTGCTTGCATTACCCAACTAGGTAATACTGTCAGCAGTCCTTTCCTTCCTTCCTTCCTTCCTTCCTTCCTTCCTTCCTTCCTTCCTTCCTTCCTTCCTTCCTTCCTTCCTTCCTTCCTTCCTTCCTTCCTTTCTTTCTTTCTTTCTTTCTTTCTTTCTTTCTTTCTTTTCTTTCTTTCTTCCCTATTTATCCTTTTTTCTTCCTTCCTTTCTGTTTGTCCTTTTTCCTTCCTTCCTGTCTTCCTGTCTTCCTTCCTTTCCTTCCTTTATCCTTTTTCTCCCCTCCCTCCCTTCCTATTTATCCTCCATCCATCCTTCCTTCTTTTTTCATGTTTATTCTCCTTCCTTCCTTCCTTCCTTCCTTCCTTCCTTCCTTCCTTCCACCCACCCATCCACCCACCCACCCACCATCCATCCATCCATCCATCCATCCATCCATCCATCCATCATCCTTGGTAGTCTCTGAACTTGGTTGTTTTCCTGCAGTTATTCCACTTTTATTTTCTTTTTTGGATCCCTTCCACAGTGAATTCAAATGGAATTGTAGGCCAAATATTTTTTTTTACAAAGTCATAATACTTCTTGCTTCCTTGATTTCATCTTCAATCACATCCCTCCCCACTGTTTGGCTCCAAGACAATTAAAATTGCACCTCTTTGATTCATAGCGATTCTCCTACATACTTCCTTTAATTGTGCAATTTGTAATGTTCCCTTGCAGTGGGTAAGATTAGGGTTCCTTAAAATAAATGTTTCATTTTTAAAACCTCATTTATCTCAATATATTTTTTTAAAAGGAGCAAGAGGATTCATCCAAAGATTCTTTCAAGAAGTCACAAAATTTTTATTGACTAGTAATCCAAAGATTCTTCTTTGTGTTCTTCATCAAATAGCTGGCTACTTTGATATTGGGAATATGATTAATAAAATAATTACTGAGATGGAATATTGCATCCTATTTTGGTTGCCACAGATGTTGAGACTCTGGGAAGAATGCAGAGAAGAGCAACAAAGATGATTATGGAGGTGGAGGCTAAAACATATGAAGGCATTGGATATGTGTAGTTTGTTGAAAAGAAGGAATAGGAGTGAAATGATAGCAGTCTTCCAATACCTGAGGGGCTGCCACAAAAAGACGGGGTCAATCTATTTATTCTCTAAAGCACCAGAAGGGACCAAACTGAGTCCCCAGATGATCTCTAGGGATCAGTGAGCCCTTTTGCACATCATTTAACAAAATCCACCCGGGTGGGCACGCAAGCAGACCCAATGAACAAAGGGTCAGAATATATAAAGTATAAGATGTGATGACCCAGGGTGGGATACAAAAGCAACAAAGTCACAAAAACAGGTGAAGTCCCTTTAATTCCTTCAACTTGGCTTCAAAGGTCCAATTATCATTGACTGGAGAGAAAAAACTCCCCCACAAACAGTTGCAAAAAGGAAGAACTTCTGTTCACACTCAAAATACCTATAAATTATAAATAGGAAAAAAACAACACAAACCACACTGAAGCAATTAAGGAGACAAGGCAGGATAAGGGATTGAAGACGTCCACAGATATCGAAATACACACACTGGGAAGGACGCCAGAACTCAATAAGAACTGACAAACCAGAAATATTTTCACGCTTTGCTTCCAGCACTGGCCCATGCGCAGTTTGTCCTTTTAAACAGTCCTCACAGCTGCAGCCCAGGAAGGGGATCAGGGCCCTTTCCTCCCCCACAGACCATGCCATTCATATTTCTCCCTTCTCTGCTCCTCCCTGCATGCCCTAGGATGAAGAGGGGATGGGCCTGGGTTTTCCTCTGAATGCCCAGCCAGCCTGTGCCCTTCCGTAGTTTTCTCCACAACTTCTGGAGCCACACTCCCACTCCCTGTTGGCTGTTCTTCCTCTCCCTTGGACTCAGACTCCAACAGGGGCATGACACAAGGTCTCCTACTTGAGCGAGGGGGGAGGTTGGACTAGATGACCTCTGAGGTCCCATCCAATTCTGTTATTCTATCATTCAAGATCAGTAAATCAGAGGAAGTTGGGGTGCTCCATCACTGGAGTTTTTCAGGAACAGACCAGACAACCATTTGTCCTGGATTTTAGAGGGTTCCCTGCTTGCGGGGTTAGACAAGGTGACCTCCAATGCCCCTTCCAACTATATTATTCTGCAGGCCAGACAAGAAGCAACAAATGGAAGCTAATCAAGCAGAGAATGAACTTAGAACTAAGGGAAATTTCCTGACAGTGGAACAGCTTACTTCCAGAAATTGTGGGTGCCATTTTCTAAAATGATGTGGAGGTCTCCTGCTCAAGCAGTGGGTTGGACTAGAAGACCTCCAAGGTCCCTTCCAATTTTCTTATTCTGTTAAATCTGAGAAAAATTCTTGCCTACTACGTTCTTTTAATATGGCATTCAGATTTCTGTGAAACCTCTGGAGTTCAGTGTTATTTTTCAAGCAACCGTGAAACTGCACATTTTGGTGAATTGTCTTCCTTTCCATCCACTGATTTGTTGTGTATTAATGTGGTTGTGGTCCTAAATTCAAAACGAGGGTAAACAGGTTCCTCCCTCTGGGTTTTCTTTGCTAAGCCATCAAAGCTGTCATCTAGTCACATCTAATTGGCTACTTACTAATGTAAGCATACTCCATTATGCCATTCCAGACTGGTTGGGACAGCATCAGAAGACTATTACAGAATATCTGTGGCTCCGGTTTGAAATATGGGGTCCCTGGTGCTCTATAAGCTTGTTGGTTTCCATCTCATTACCCAGCTAGATAACATCCTCAATGCTCGAAAGGAAAATATTTGTAGCTCTGGGTTGAAATGAGGGGTCCTCTGTGCTTGAGTGTTTTCTTGCAGATGTTTCATGATCCAAAGTAGGTAACACCATTAGTGTCTAGATGGGAGCAGGAAGGAGGAGGAGGAGAACAAGGAGAATGAAGAGGAAAACAAGGAAGAGGGGGAGAACAAGGAGAATGAGGAAGAAAACGAGGAGAATAAGGGGAATGAGGCAAAAGAGAAGGAAAATGAGGAGAAGGAGGAGAACAAGGAGGAGGAGGAGAAAGAGGAGAATGAGAAGAATGAGGAGGAAAATGAGGAGGAGGAGGAGGAAGATGAGAATGAGGAGGAAGAGGAGAATGATGAAGAAGAGGAGGAGGAGGAGGAAAACAAGGAGAATGAGGAGGAGGAGGAGGAGGAGGAGGAGGAGGAGGAGGAGGAGGAGGAGGAGGAGGAGGAGGAAAACAAGGAGGTAAAGGAGGAGGAGGATGACAATTGTGGTGCTCTCAGAGCTTGGTTATTTTCTGGCAGACATTCCAAGACCCAAATAGGTAACACCATCAGTAGACTAATTACCCAGTTACATAGTGAAACACCTTCAAGAAAGCAACCAAGTTCCGAGACCACCAAGGCCCTACATATTCTAGGGCAAGATTATTTAAGAATTGTCTTTTTTCCCAGTTATATCTATTCAATCCATCAGAGCTGGGAAGAAGGATACATTATGGTTCCCCCTCTTAAGGAGACCCAACTGATGAGAACTAGAAGAAGGGCCTTCTCTGTGTTGGCTCCCTTCTTGTGGAACATCATCCTTGAGGAGATAAAATTGGCTCCTACTTTGACACACTTTTGAAAGGTCCCAAAGACTTGTTTCTATCAATGGACCTTACAGATAATCAGAGTTGGAAGGAACCTTGTAGGTCATCTAGTCCAATCCCCTGCCCAAGCAGAAGATCCTACACCATTTCTGAACAAATGGCAGTCCAATCTCTTCTTGAAAGTCTCAAGTGATGGCACTCCCACGATGTCCGCGGGCAAGCTGTTCCATTGGTTAATTGTTCTCACTGTCAGAAAGTTTCTCCTTATTTCCAGGTTGAATCTCTCCTTGTTCAGTGTCCATCCATTATTCCTTGTCTGGCCTTTGGGTGCTTTGTAAAATAGCTTGATCCCTCCATCAAGTTGTTGGCCTGATTGTTGTCAATAGTGGGCTATTGATTTATTCAGTTGTGTATTTACCGGTAAAGTTTTATTTCTGTAAACTGGCCAGAGTCAGCATGACAGCCATATAAATGATCCTAATAAATAATAAACAACAAATTTTGTTTATATTGTATTATGTTATGTATTGTATTATATTACATTTTTTGAAATAACTGCAAGAAGAGTTCACATTTACAGAAGGAACACATTCTATTATTACCACACAAAACCAGATTAAGATGACAAAACTTTAAAAAAGAACACCCTGTAGAAAAACATAAATGATGCTGTTAGAAGACATTTGCTAAATCTCCCAGTGCATTATTTTATCCTTAAAAATTGTATGAGGAGAGGTTCTGTATATTTCTATTATGCAAAACCTAGAAAGGTGTGACTGTCAATGAGACTAATTCAACACTTAAAGCAAAAAAACCACCACCAACAACAACCCAACAACAGTTCTGTAAGATCTGCAAGAACTCCCGAGAAAGAAAATTGGAACTCGAAGCTGTGACTTTGCATTTATTTAACACAAATATTTAGTGCTCTCCTTATTTGCTTTAGTCAGTGATTCTCCATCAAATTAAAATTTTGAGTAGGAGACCAAAACTGTCTGCTTTTGACATAGTGCTCTGCGATACTTTTTAATGTCATTTTTTTTTTTGAAGGACAGAAGAATCCTTCCCAAATTTTGGGCAGACATAAAAATGGAAGGAATGGATAACACCACAGACAAAGGCTGCACGTTAACAATTTTCAGACAGAATGCAGAATAAAATAAATTTCTGTCAGGAAATTGCTCAGCAACTGTCCAAATGAAGTCAAAGACGCTGACACAAACTTGTAGTTTTATAACGATAAATAGGTTTAGCTCAAATAACAGTTTGAAAAAGAGGTTGAGAGATAAGAAAGAAGGGATACTGAAGTGACATACAAGGAGCCAAAAATTTGTTCTATCTAGGCTGACATAGTTCATATGCAATCAATTTCAATGAATATCCAAGATTCCTTGAAAGCAGATCAGAATAAATTTTTAAATTGTATTAAAATAAGTTTTCAGCATGGAAAAAATGGGCAAAGACTGCAGAGGTAACTTTTAGCTCATTGTTGGAGATGCCTAATTATGCAATGAAGTACTTTCTTAGAATGGACAAGATATATAGGTGATCCTTGACTTATGACCAGTTGAAAGATTCTTATGACAGAACTCCCCCCCCTCCCCCAGGGCTATTTATGACTCAATTTCAAAGTTTTGAGGAACTTCATCTCTACCCCTTGTTGACATGACCTGATCACATTTTGGGCAGCTGACAACAAACCCACATTTATGAATGTTTGCAACATGCTGTAGTCACATTGTCATGATTTAGGAAGTTTTTTTTGAAGGAAGCCAATGTTTATTTTTTATTTACAGCAAAAAACACCGATTAGGTAAAATGGATTTGCTTAATGACTGAAAGGTTCCCTTAACAACAGCTATGCTTGCTTAATGACTGCCACATTTACTTACTTGAAAACAAATTGAAAAAAATCGGGTGTGGTCACATATGATTCATTGAATGATTGCCATGGCTTACAACTGTAATTCTAGGCTCAGTTGTGGTTGTAAGTCAAGGATTACCTAAAAGTTTCGCTCAGTTCATCATTCTGTTTATTTCCTTCAAATGGCTCACTACCATCTTCTCAGGTTGGCAAATTTGGGGTTGGACTAAATGACCTGCGAGATCCCTTCCAACTCTGTAAATCTGTTATCATCTATAAGAAAAAATTGGAATCTCCTTTCAAGTAGGATTAAAACTGGAATCTTATTTAGTATAGTATTGATTTGTGGAAAGGTGTCTAATCTTTCTGGAGAAGGAAAGAAAGAAAGAAATCATACTCTATCTGGATTCTCTTAGAAACAGCGGTCGGTGTATGAAATAAAAAATTGAAACCTGTTTGAAATTTTCAAACACTCAGTCCTGAAAGAGGCAGACACTTTCACTAAATTGTTTATTTTTCATAGTTTTATTTAAATCAATGTTAATTTCAGAATGGTTCGATGCTTCCTGATAAACCTTTGTTTTCATCAAAGTCCTTGGCAAAGACACCAGATTCCTGGCATCTATTTGTATAATGTATCCATTTTATGGATTATATTGGTACCTTCAAACTATATTTGCTGAATGCATGGAAACGGTGTGATTATGAAAAGGAGTGCAGTAGAGGTGATATGATAGCAATATTCCAATATTTGAAGGGCTGCCACAAAGAAGAGGGAGTCAAGCTATTCTCCAAAGCACCTGAGGGCAGGACAAGAAACAATGGATGAAAACTCATCAAGGAGAGAAGCAACTTATAGTACCATAGTAGTGCACACTTTGTAAATAGTTGAACAGTGTTGAGGGAATTATTTGTTTAGCAGAGTGATGGCTTTCAGGGAAAAAACTGTTCTTGTGTCCAATTGTTCTGGTGTGCAGTGCTCTATAGCATTGTTTTGAGGGAAGGAGTTGAAACAGTTTATGTCCGGGATGTGAGGGGTCTGTAAATATTTTCACAGCCCTCTTTTTGACTCGTGCAGGATACAGGTCCTCGATTGAAGGCAGGTTGGTAATAATTGTTTCTTCTGCAGTCCTAATTATCCTCTGATGTCTGTCCTGTTGGGTTGCAGAACCAAACCAGACAGTTATAGAGGTGCAGATGATACTCAATAATTCCTCTGTAGAACCGGATCAGCAGCTCCTTGGGCAGTTTGAGTTTTCTGAGTTGGCACAGAAAGAACATTCTTTGTTGTACTTTTTGATGATGTTTTTGATGTTAGGTGTTCATTTTAGGTCATGTGATATAGTAGAACCTAGAAATTTGAAGATCTTTACTGTTGATACTGTGTTGTCTAGTATTGTAAGAGGTGGTAGTATGGGAGGGCCCAAACTTATCCAGCCAGCATTCCTGCCTAAAGCAGGACTAGAACTCACTGTCGCCTAGCAATTGGCCCAAAGTCAGCCAGCCAGCTTTCATGTCTAAGACAGGACTAGAATGCGCTATTGCTGGTTTCTAACCTGGTGCCTTAACACCAGGCCAGACTGACTCTCTAAATATCCTTTGTTTCAGTAGTAGATTCCTACCTTGTTTTCTACTGGTTCGGTGGGTGATTGCATGGGTGTGTGCACATGTGCACCTCATGGACATGTGCATGCAATCCCTAACATGCATGTGTACACCCTCTAACTCACCAATCAGCTGAGAGGATGAAGAAACAAAAAACTAGGAGCGACCCTCCAACCTGTCCATGCACTTGTTGCTTCTTTTATCCTCTCAGCTGATCCCTGGAGAAACCGGTTTTACCGTAGTGGTAGACTTTTTTTACTACCGGTTTGGCTGAACCGGTCTGACCCGTTAGTATATCACCACTGCTTTGTTTTACCTGTCAATTCCTATGCACAATACAAATCTGAAAAACTCACACTGGATCTCATTGGTCAAGTGTATTGTTAGGAAAGTAAAGTGTTAATGTTCAGAAAGGTTTTTGTTTTTTTTCCAGAATGCAAAAATCAAGGACCAACTGTCCTTTATCCAGGTAAGACTGATCTGGGAATATCCATCTGCTTATTGTTAATTATGCATTAAAATAGTTCTGTTTCTTTCCCACCCCAGAAATGTTACATTACTTGTTTGTTCCACTTCAATGTGGCAACTTTAAAATAATCTTCTTTGAGTTATTCCATTTTATTAATTGAAAACAATGGTGGGGCAGCCCCAGCCATTAGAATGATAGAATTAGAGGGCTGGAAGGGACCTTAGAGATCTTCTAATCCAACCCCCTACCCAAGTCAGGAATGCTGACATCATCCCAATCAAATTATGGTCCAGTTTATTTTTGAAAACCTCCAGTGATGGAACATCCCGCAACTCCCAGAAGCAAATTATCCAGAATAACAAAATAACAGAGTTGGAAGTCTTATGGTTCAACTTTTTGCTCAAGCAGGAGAATCTACAACATCTCAGACAAGTGATTGTCCAGTCTTTTCTTAAAAGCCTCCAGTGATGGAGCACCCACAACTTCTGAAGGCAAGCCCTTCCGCTGGTTAACTGTTCTCACTTTTAGGAAATTTCTCCATAGTTCTCGGTTATTTCTCTCCTTGATTAATTAATTCCATTGATTAATTATTCTCACTCTCTGGAAAGTCTTCGTTGTTTCTTAGTTGGTTTTCTCCTTAGTTTATTTCCACCCATTGCTTCTTGTTCTGCCTTCAAGCTCTGGAAAAAAACAGGTTGATACCCTCTTCTCTGTGACAGCCTCTCAAATACTGGAAGACTGTTATCATACCTCCCTTAGTCCTTTCTCTTCTGTAGACCAGACATAACTAGTTCCCTTAATTGTTCATTGTATGGATTAGCTTTCAGACCTTTGAACATTTCTGTTGCTCAGAATATTTTTTTTAAAAAAATATTCTGGTGGGTGCTGAAAGAATGCATAATAAGAAGTCACCCAAACAACACAACAGGTAGAGGTCACAACTTTGCAAGCGAGAAGAGGGGGAGAGAAGAACAGGCCATTGAAAGTATAGCCTTTTTAATTTGTGATTTTTATCACCCTGATTATCATTTCACAGGTTGGTTTTTTTTTTTTTCAGTTCACTATCTTTCCATATAAAAAGACCCCCTCACCCACTCACCCACCCGGGGTGAGGGATTTACCACCGACAGCTCTAATTATCACACTATGCATTTTTCCCCAAGTAGATTTGCAAGTGTGATAATTAGAGCTGTCGGTGGTAAATCCCTTACCCCGGCTAAAAATACCAGCGGAGAGGTTTCAAATTGTGTTATAAAGGCCTCCCTCGATCTCTCACTTTGGGTGGTGATGGTGCAGCCCAGGGAGAACTGAGAACACAAGATGAAAAGAAAAGCATAGGGAGGAGGGGAAGAGAGTAGGAGGTGTCATCTGCTGAACTTGCTTGTGTTAGATCTTCTCCCTAAGACATCTGACCTCTTTAGAAGAACCAAGGAAGAGAGGGGTTACAATTGTACACCTTCAATCAACCCTCAGCTTAAAATAGGATTTTGGTGGTTCTACACAAGAGTTAAATTCTCAAGAAAAATGCGGATGAAGTTTCAAAGAAGTGCTTCGCTTAGAGTGAAGGACCCCTTCAAACCAGCTTCATAAAACTATGTCTGTGTCAGTGTTCCAGAAAACCTTGACTCCAACATGTAACTCCAAACCAGACATATTTTCAAAGTTCCCTTTTATTAGAGTAGTAAACTGGCACATCTGGGAAATCCCGAATCTGAAAGTTCTGGGTTTCCCTCCAATAAGTAAAATATTACAAATCCACCCGCTGCCCCCATCATTCCATCACATGCCCCAATCACCCTCAGTATCAACTTGAGACGTCCTCACTACTCCTCCTCAGCCAGGTGCGGGAACAACATGACCTTGACTCTAACAAAGAATGCTATTATGTCTACTACATACGCTCCATGCAATTCCCCCCTCCCATCTTCCCAGGCTCAAGAATGTGGCAGCGTGGAAGCTTCTGGCGCTAAGATGGCTTCCAAAGCTGACAGTCTGTCCTATCAGTGGTGGGATTCAACTGGTGTAACGACCGGTTCAGTGATCACATGCGCAGCATTTGAAAACTGCTCATTTTCAACTCTGAAATTTACCTTCTGCTGCAGCCCCGGTGAGTAAATCAACTGAGATGTGGCACTCTGTTCTGCCACGTGAATCAATTGAGTTGCAAAATAAGAAAATATAGGACAGACTACTGCAGAGGCAGGTGGGCGGGGCCAACTAATTGCCAGAACTACCAGTTCGCCTGAACTGGTCTGAACCAGCAGAATCCCACCTCTGTGTCCTATCTATCTAACTTTAGACAGTAAAGGAATATAGTTACGTTGATTCACTTCATCTGCTACTGACATTTCCAGTGATGGTCTACCTTATGTGGTATTTTACTGCTCTAAGACATCCCACTTCTTCCCAAGGTCAGGGGAACCTTCAAGGAAAAATAAAGGATATCCAGGGGACCAATTTTGTTTCTGGAAATTTCATTAGAGTAGCAGGTGTCACCTGCTGAAATTGCTTCTGCGCGATCTTCTCCCTAAGACATCTGACCTCTTTAGAAGGACTGGGAAGAGAGTGCTTCCAATAATACAAATTCAACCCTCAGTTTGAAACAGGATTCTGATTGCGTGAGAACTTGCTTGTGTGAGATCTTCTCCCTAAGACATCTGATCTCTTTAGAAGGACTGGAAGAGGTTGGTTACAATTACACACGTTGAAGATGCATCTTGCAATGGGATTCTGGTGGTGTGCTTGAGAGAAAGAGTTTCATGAATAAAGAGTGGGTGAAACTTCATAGAAGTGGTTTGCTTGGAGTGAAGGACTCCTCCAAACCTGCTTCATACAACAATGTCTATTTATTCAGCTTCACACAATAAAGGACCATGGTTGCGTTGATTCATTTCCTGTGCTACGTTCATCTTCAGTGATAGTCTGATTTATTTCACGTTTTTGCTCTTCTCAAATGTCCCACTTCAGCCTAGTGGAATGGTCACAGCAGCCATCAAGGCAGGAGTGGGATTCAGCCCATTCGTACCGCTTTGCGTGAACTGATAATTCTGGTGATCAGTTGGCCCTGCCCACCCACCCCTGTGCTAGTCTGTCTTATATTTCTGTGTTTTGCAGCTCAGCTGATTTGCACAGCACAGTGGATTGCCACGCTCAGCTGTTTTACTCACTGGGGCTACCGTATAAGGTAAGTTTTAGAGCTAAAAATAGGGATGCAACATGCGCTCACCGAACCGGTTGTTACACCGGTTGAATCCCACCTCTGCTTCAAGGCAAAATAAAGGACATCCCGGTGACCAGTTTTGTTCCTTGAAGTTTCATTAAAGTAGGAGACATCCTCTGCTGAACTTGCTTGCGTACGATCTCCTCCCTAAGACATCTGACCTCCTTAGAAGAACTGGGAAGAGAGTGGTTACAATTCTGCACCTTCAAGCTGCAGCTTCAAAGACTTGGTGGTCTACTTGAGAGACGGATTCTCATGAATGAACGTGGGTGAAGCTTCAAAGACATGCTTTGCTTGCAGCGAAAAACCCCTTCAAACATGCTTCATATAACAATGTCAGTCTTATCTATCCAGCTCAGACAGCCAAGGAACATGGTTGTGATGATTCACTTTGCCTGCTACTGTCATCTTCAGTGATGATCTGTCTTAACAGGCAGTTTCACTGCTCTGAAAAGTCCCACTTCTTTCCTGTTTATAAATATTTTTATTATTTTGTATCACAAATTCAATTTCTCTAAGTCCCACTTCTGCATAATGGAATGGTCAGAGGAGCTTTCAAGGTAAAATAAAGGATATCAGGAAGATAAATTTTGTTCTCTGAAGTTTTATTGAAGAGAACTGTGATGAATCAGAATAACAGAAAGCCAACAAAGTTGGAAGGGACCTTGGATGTCTTCTAGTCCAACCCCTTGCTTAGGCAGGAAACCCTATACCATTTCAGACAAATAGTTATCCAATCTTTTCTTAAGAACTTCCATTGTTGGAGTATTCCCAACTTTTGGAGACAAGTTGTTCCACCAATTAATTGTTCTAATCTAACTGTCAAGAAATTTCTTCTTAGTTCTAGGTTGCTTCTCTCCTTCATTAGATTTTACAGGTACGCCTTGTGTTACGACTGTGATGGATACTTCCTGTTTTTGGAGGCAGACATTATTCATTCCTTAGGCTGTCATTAATCAGAACTGCATCCAGTTTTGGTCACCATGATCCAAAAAGATGCTGAGGTTCTAGAAATGGTGCAGAGAAGATCAACAAAGAGGATTAGGTGACTGGAGGCTAAATCGTATGATGAATGGTTGAGGGAAATGTCCAGCATATCCAAGAGAAAGTCTAGGGGGTGACATGACAGCCTTCTTCCGGTATTTGAAGGGCTGTGACAGAGAAGAGAAGATTGACTTATTCTCCAAGACACCCGAAGACAGGACAAGAAGCAACAAATTAAACTTATTCATTATTTTCACTTTATTTCCTAAATGTCTGTGGAGAACTGAAAAAGCTTCTTGGATGAGCAGCAAAACATTTTCAAGGACAAGACCAAGAAAGTCCAGTTGCCTTTTGGAAAAAAACACACCTTTGGGACTCTATAAGTCCTACATTCTAGGACATCTGTTGGCCAATTATCTGCCATCATCAAGTGTTTTATTCTATTGAATATTTCATCCTTTGCCATGGGCTATGATGGTCCTGGTATGGAAATAATTACCAACCCCAAAAAGAGGAAACAAAAGAGCAACCTTTTCTTTGTGAAACCATGGACTTGTTTTACTTTCTAAGACAATTGAGGGATGAGGTCATCATCAAGTCTTCCACCTTGTGGATTCTACTAGTGTGCCCTCCTTTAAAACCATGTCTATCACCAGTCATATTTCGGACAAGAACATCCATGAATAGAGCTTTTTGGAAAAAAATAATAATTTCATCTTTCTGAATCTAGGAGAAGACTTTGAATCTTGAATGAAATCTCGTTACTATATGGACTTCGTGGAGATTTTATGCCATGTATTCATGTAGGGCTGGTGGAGATACACTAATAACCTTTTAATATATTTACAACATCTACCTCACCTGAAGCTCAAGGCAAGCTGAGTTCCCCATCAATAAAAGTGACAGAACAGTGAAATAATGTTAAAACATCAAAGCCTACATAATAGGATTAAGCTGCCATAGACATGTTGCTCACTCCTGGACATACATTCTACAAAAAAGCAGAGCAGAACTGATGGCTGTCAGTTCTCTGGCAGAAGACCAAGAACCATGGTGGATAATCACGCCATTTGACAGTTTCCAGACATGGTTACCTCTCCCAGAAGCTTCTGGCAACAAGAACTGAATTTCGGTTCCAGGAGTATCCGTGCTACAACTTGTAATTTGTAATGAGGCCATTTTAATGAGACAGGGAGTCTGAGTCAGCATAAGCCTCCAGATGAAATCTTCCTAAAGGGCAGGGACATCTAAATCAAAGGAAAAGGTGGAGCAAATTCAGTAGGTGATAGCAAATGAGGTAGAGAAGATACAGCCATAAATTTTAGATAGCAGTGTTCTTATTTGTTAGAGTTTCCTTACTTTTCTGCAGCAACTCAAGGTTAACCGCACCAAACTTGATTGCAGGAAATACAACTTCAGCAACAGAGTAGACAATGTCTGGAATACTCTATCTGACTCTGTGGTTTCTTCCCCAGATCCCAAAAACTTTATCCTTAGACTGTCTACTATTGACCTCACCCCTTTCCTAAGAGGTCTGTAGGGGGCGTGCATAAGCGCACAAACATGCCTACCGTACCTGTCCCATTGTTTCTTTTTATTTTTCTTATATGTATCCATTTGATGTATTCATAACTATGTTTATATTATACCTAAGTATAAATAAGCGATTGACAAATCAAATAAATAAATAAAATAGCAGTGCTCTTATTTGTTAAGAGTTTCCTTACTTTTCCTACAGCAACTCATGGCAATACCTCCCCACAAGTGATTTAGAGATTAACAACAATTAGCATATTGTATGTAACAACCAAACAGACAACTTGGGATATTGGTCAAGGCATCAGGCTAGAAACTAGGAGAGTTCTACCTTGGACACAAAACCAGCTGGGTGACCTTGGGCCAGTCAATTTCTCTCAGCCCTAGGAAGAAAGCAACAGCCTACTATTTCTCAAATATTGTCATGAAAACTTTAGGGATTTCTCCAGGCTATCTCCAGAAATCAAGCTTGAATTAAAGGTGCACACACATACACAAGTAGATTATTAACAGTAATACAAATGTATCACTCCAACACACGCAGATTGCATTTTATCCAGAGGTGGTATTCCACAGGTTTTGAGCAATTCTGGAGAACCGGTAGTGGAAATTTTGAGTAGTTCAGAGAATCAGCAAATCCCATCTCTGACTGGCTCTGCCCCCATCTATTCTCTGCCTCCCATTGAGTCCCAGCTGATCTTCTTCTTCTTTTGTTGCCCTGCACAGGAGAACAGAGCTGGAAAGCAGGTTAGTGGGGTAGGGAGGGAATGGGATTTTGCAGTAACCTTCCACCAGGAATGAGGTGGGAATGGAGATTTTACAGTATCCTTTCCCTGCCACACCCACCAAGCCACGCCCACAGAACTAGTAGTAAAAAAAAATTGAATCCCACCCCTGATTATGTCCCACATATCTTCTGGAATTGTTCTGTTTTCAGTTGTTGTATCTGCTAGTCCAGACCAGTAGATCTGCAGCCTATTTAGAACAGCAGGCAGAGCTGAGGTGGTGGTGGTGGAGTTAAATGTGTCATCAACTTGGAGTAATAACATTGTCACAAATGATCCAAGTCTAGCTGCCCTTGAATTCCATTCACCCTTATTTGGCATGGATTCAGATTTGAACTTTAGCTGATTAGATTCCTGTGTAATAATGTACTTGATCAAAAAAAAATTTCGAATTGCATCCCTAGAAACTTACTGTCATCTTCTGCATCAATGCTCTTGGGCCCAAGAAGTTCTCCCCATGGAGGGTAAACATCTACATTTCAGAGAGGTGAAGGTTTTTCACAGTCTTTCCAAAAGCATCATGTTTCATCTAAAGTGATTTTGTGACATTTTCTCTGGTGGCGATGCTTGCCACCGGTATCGATTTTGGATGTGTTGGGATTTCATCCCCACCTGACTTTGTTCTACCATCCTCCCAAGGCTTCACAACTGAGACTTCTTATTTTCACACCCAGCCTTGTTTGTCTTGCTGCAGAAATCCATTCTCACAAACAGCTGAGTGTGATCCATTGCCAGCAGTGGACAATCCTGAATAGGATTCGCACTTCAAATGGCGTCTGTTTAGATTCACTGTCTAAATGGGACATAGCATCCTCCCCTCGGTGTGACTGCAGGGGTCCCACGTCGAATTGTAGATCATCTTGTGACCTGTTGTAAATTGAAGGCATATATTGATTGACCACATCAGTGGGAGTATCAGTAAAATCACCCTAAATCTAAATCAATGTCAACCATCTGACATGTGCCAGATGCAAAAGATCAGAACCATAACATTAATTGCAATTCATAAGTCTTTTTTTTGGCTCAAGTATGTTTATTACATAAGAATTTAGTCAGCTAAAATTCAAACCTGAATCTGTGCCCAATAAGGGCCAATGGAATTCAAGGGCACCTGGACTTAATGTATCACAGGCTCGGTTGATGTTCCTTGAGTTGGCGAATGGCTGTTAATTACTACTGTGTTTCCCTGAAAATAAGACCCTACCTCATAATTTTTTGCCACCAGAAAAGGCACCAGGTCTTATTTTGGGGGGATGTCATTGACTGACTAACCTCACTTGCGCGCATTGCCCCCGGTCTCCTTTTCTCTGTCAGAGGCCTTCAGGAACCTCTTCTTCTGTGGCTGGCAGCTGGAGCTTTGTGATCGGCTACAGAGGCCTTCAGGAAAGCCTTGCCAGCTGCAGAAATAATGGGCCAGCAAGGCAGGTGTCGGGCTGTGCGAGGCCTGGCTACAACTGTCCAAAGGTAAATAGTAGGGCTAGTTCCAACCCCCATCCCCACGCTAGCTTAATTTTTACCTATGCACTCTGGAGTGGGCAGGATGTTAATTATTTAGGGCTTAATTTGGGGGTAGGGCTTATATTGGCACACATGTAAAATTCAAGCTAGGTCTTACTTTCAGGGTAGGTCGTATTTTCAGAAAAACAGGGTACGGGCTGCATTGGATGCCCAAAATAATTGGCTGTTCCTCATCCAAGTTAGCCATTGCATGGACCCAAGAAGGATGACAAATGAAGAGTCAGGAGATATTACCCAGGTGAAACAGATACCTATAGAAGAGAATATTTGTAGATCAAGGTTGAACTGGGAGGGGGGGTCATTGGTGCTCTCTGAACTGGGTGGTTTCCTTGCAGATGTTTCATTACCCAACTAGGGAAAATCATCAATGCTAGAAGGGAGTTTCGTGAAGAGGAGGAAGAGGATAGTGGGGTCCTTGGGGCTCCCTGAACTTGATGGTTTCCTTGCATATGTTTCATAATCCAATGAGATAAATATCATCAGTGCTAGAAGGAAAGTGGGTTTGTGGAGGAGGAGGAGGAGGAGGAGGAGGAGGAGGAGGAGGAGGAGGAGGAGGAGGAGGAGGAGGAGGAGGAGGAGGAGGAGGACTGTGCGATCCTTGATGCTCTCTGACATTGCTGGGTCTTTTGGTTTGCTTAGGATGTTTGATACACAGAGACTAATTCTGAAATTGTAGATTCATCACATCTGTCATCAAGTCAGTATTGACTTTCAGTGATCACATAGGTGACCAGCTCCAGGTCTTGTTATATATTGCATGAAACAACAAGCAGGTTCACGTATTACCCAAGTCCCATCACTTTTTGGGGGGGGCCATGAGACTCCCTAAGGATCAGATGGGGCAACTTGTCCCCAAAGAAATTGTGCATTCTCCACCATTGTAGGAACGAGAAGAAGAGAGAATGTTCTGGGATGTATCTTGAGATGCGATGACCAGAGATGGGATTCAAAAATCCCAGCAACCAGTTTGCTGCCTGGTTGCTGGGTGGGCATGGCCATGGTGGGCGTGACCTACTGGAACTTCCTGTTTCCTGCTTCCGGTGGGCTTCCAAAGCTTGGGGGAGGCTATTTTCGCCTTCCCAAGGGTCCAGAGGCTTCCCCCGGACTCTGGAGGCCCATTGGAAGCCAGAAACAGACCCAATTTGTAGCCGTTTTTTGCTCTCCCAAGGATCCAGAAGCATCTCCCAGGCCTCTGAGAGGGTGAAAACAGCCTCTTCCAGGCTCTGGAAGCGCTACGGAAACCAAAAACAGGCCCACCTCCAGACTTCTGGAAAGCCCATTTCCCCCCCTGCATCGTGCGGAGACTCCTGGGAGGGGTGGAGCAGGGTTGGAAGGGCCAGCCAGTCAGTTGAAATATCGCTTCGGTAAACCAGATGTAGAATCCCACCCCTGGTGATGACCCACACCTCAAATGAATTCAAACGGAAGACATCAGGTTATCTGCAGTTGTGTGTGCTGCTGGTCCTTCAAAAAGAGAGCTAATGAAAGTTGTAGTTTAATAAAATCTTGAACTGGTATCTCATCTTTGAGTACCCAGAATTAGGGTGAGAGGAGAGGCTTAATCAAGGTTTTTCTCTTCAGATGGTTTTCAACAAGGACCCTTTTCTGGCCAATCAACCCTATTTCATCTCTTCAGGGTTTCTTACTTCTTAAGGCAACATTTCTTTTTATTCAATTGCAAAACACTTAGCTCCAGAGAATCAATGGGTGACACGTGAAGGCTACATTGGATGGAGATTTTGATAGAGAAAATATAAAATAAAATACGAGGCTGTTATTTATATAAGGAACATGTTCCTTATATTGGACCTGCTATAGGGCAGATTCATCTGATTTAGGAGTTCAGAAAATTTCCTTCCTTCCTTCCTTCCTTCCTTCCTTCCTTCCTTCCTTCCTTC